CCCCCCCCCCCCACCATCGCACCCCAGGCTGAACCTTTCTCTCTGAGATTTTCTGGGAACCCTGGAGCCCACCTGCCTCTACCACAAGGTCACTGGGTTCAACCCTCTCAGCACCGCCGCCTTTCCTATCACAAGGTGCTCCCAAGATTTGAGAGCAAACTGAAAGGGGAGGTGAGTGTGATTTACGGGCTCCAGAGGCCATTTCCCTCACTGCTTCTGAAGGATTCGGATGCGGAGAACAGCCAGGAGTGAGGCCTTTACCCTGCCCTCCCCTTTGTTCCCTGGGATGGGGAAACAATAAAACCACAGGCTGGTGAGACGGAGGGGCTGGGTAGAGATTTCTCAGGCTGCTTTTTGACACACTTGAAGGAGCCATTCCAGGCTATTGTTGTAGTAAAATAGAAAGCGGAACTATTCTCCCTTTAGAAAAAGAAAGGAAAAAAGTCAAAGAAAGAACCCCCTCCCAGCATCTTCAGGAGGCCGCCTGGCACAGGCCATTAGCCTGGGAATGCCATCCTGTTTGCATTCTGCTTTGTTCAGTATTTGCCCAGCATCCTGACCTCTGGTGGCTGCACCCAGGACCCAGGAAAGGCTGGAGCCTCAAAGGAAAGCCACCAGCATCCTGGCCTCCTGGAACCTGAGCGGGACCAAGCCCCAAGCAGGAGAACTCAGTTCATCCGCACAACTGAAGATGGATAGGGTGGGGAAAGGGTCCTGTGACCCCAGTTTTCCTTTTGTTCCCAGAGTTCACCATGAAAGCCCCAATGCCTACCCAATGGGAGAACTTCGAGGTCTGGCTAACCCTAGATGAAGCCAAGGCATGTTGAGACTTAGTGGAAACTTCGGGGAAGTAGGTGTTCTGTGGGAATTGCCTCTGATGGGGTTGACCCTCAGCAGCATTTGACTGCTCCTGGTGGAAAAGAGGTTACAGGTGAGCTCCCACTTGATCCACATTTGGTGGGGGGTCCTTTGCATCCTCAGCAAACATTGTGCCATCCAGAGCAAGTCTGGGACCCCTGGGCCTCTTGGGACATGGCCCAAGAAGAGGGGTTCTGTCACTGAAAGCAGCCAGACTGCAGCGGATGCTGCTGGAGGCTCAGACAAAGCCCGGGGCCTGGCATTCCTGCTGCCCTCTGGCTCTCCTGGTGAAAAAACAGCTCCTGCCCGAGGGCTGAGTGAGAGGAAGCAGAGGCTTGGGCTGAGTGAGGGGCCTCGGTATTCCCTCTCTCTCTTGCTCTCTGCACTTCCATCTTTTCTTCTAGAGAACATTTGGGAACCAAAAGCCAAGATTTTGTTATAGCCAAGCTTTGTTATATTATGTTTGGTTTGGACTTACACATGTAGAAAAGTGTGTTTAAAAAAAGAAGAAGAAGAAGAGGAAGAGGAGGAAGAGGAAAAAGAGGAAGAAGAGGAAGGGGAGGAAGAGGAAGAAGAGGAAGGGGAGGAAGAGGAAGAAGAAGAAGAAGAAGATGATGATATATGTCAAGTCCCAGAGAGCCTTTACTTCTGGAAAGTGGAAAAAAAAAATACAGACGGAAGATAAGTCTTAGTCTCTTGGTGAGATACAGCATGTCTTTCATCTATATAATTTAAGCACATTCAGGTGTGGCCGGTTGAAAGTGACAGCTGGCCTCTGCTCATTTACGTTTGAGTAAGTAGCATAAGCCCAGGGCTTGAAGAACCTCTTGGGAGACGCAGGACACCCTGAGAGAGAGCCGGGGCAGATGCTGGGAATGAGGCCGCTTTCCTATTTCTTTATCCACCCAGTATAGGAATTCAGAAAACAAGGAAACAGTGAATTTATTTATTTTTTTTAAGAGCTAGAAAATGATGTGTCTTGTTTTGCTTTGCTTTGCTTCCATGTTCAAGAAGAGTTGTTCAGTTGGGTTTGGAAGCTCATCCAAAGAGGCATTCATCTCCTCTGTTTGTCCCCTTGTCACACTCGGTTCTTCCACCCCATTTTGTTAGT